GATTTTCAATTTTCCTACTCTAACATATAAACCACCCCCTTTTTTTTAGTTTTTTGTGTTTTCCATGCTGCAGCGCAAGTGTCATCATAAAAATCTCATCCCCCTTTTTTTGTGCTTTTCAAATTTCGCACTTGTTGCATAGGCACATCTCAAGCTTGTAAGAAAAGCAAGGATATTGTACCCTTTTTTTTGTCGTTTTTATGTTTTTTTTAATCGCTTTCGTATCATGAGCAGTCTTCCAGCTCAATAAGAGAAGTAATTGCGAACATCAAAGCTCAGATAATTCCAAAAAGGAATGAGCATAGCAGAAGGGTATCGAAGTCCAGATTCCGGAAAGATTGGTCAAATCGTAATGTCAACAAGAAGATAGAAAAAGTCTATGGTCGATTTAGATGTAGACCATGCTGTTCTGGCATGCGCTTGCCATGGCCAAGGTAGTACCTCTGAACTTATCCTCATTTTGAACCTGCATGTTGTTGTCATGGTAGTAAGCCAAGAGATACTTTCGAGCACGATCGCAGAACTTATCAGCCAGGAAGGCAGGAGTGCTGTAACTAATCGAGCGAGTAGCGCGACCCATCAGATAACAGATATTGTGAGTAAGTTCTTGCAACACATCAGCTGGCTTGCGGTCAGTATTGACCTTGGGGTTGGTGAAGATCTCATCGTGGATGACAATGTAGTGAGCCGGACGAGCGGAACCCTGAAGAGGAGCCTGGGCTTGCAGATAGAAGTCCCAGTAGATAGGGCGGGTTACTCCGCGGTCAACAACACATCCGTTAATCGGGTTAGATGTCCGATCTTGATCCTTAGCATTGGTAGGGTAGAAGCGCACGTTGTGACGCTTTCCACAGACAATGATGGTGATGTTGGGCATGGCTCCACGGTATACCGCTTTAGCAGCAGCTTGAACCTTGGGGAGTTCCTCTGTAAGGACCATGGGAAACTGACCGTCGCTGACACCGTCGCGGTACACGAGAATATTCTGGGGCAGGTTGCCGTTGTTGGTCTTTTGCCACAAGCTCAGCCGGGTAAGCATCATCTCCTTGAGGAATTCAATGTGCTCTTGACGGCGTGTCTGGGCTCGAACCTCACCGGGCCATTGTCCCATGTTATGATCGGTGGATGCAACGATGGCAGCAACACTAGGGAAGATTTCGGGGTCTGTGCTTGACGGATGAGTGACATCCAATCCAACGACCATGGTGTTCTTCGCTGCGCTAATGAAGCGTGCGTTCGCCGGCTGCAGGAGTTGATTGCATCCTCCCATCTTGAGATTGACCTTCATCGCGTTGTTACTCAAGTACTGCTCATTGGCACCTCTGAACTTCTCGGATAGCATGCAGTGCGTAAGGACGCCAGTCTTAAGATCTCCGGCATACTTGACGTAATCGAAGATTTTGCCTTCAGTGGTAGGAAGCAGAACAACTAGGAAGGGGAATTCCCTCATGAGCTTCTTGAATGCGTCCTTGATCATATCGCGATTTTGTCTGTCATCCGGGCCGAGAAGGACTGAGAGATACGGCTTAGAGGGTGGAGGAAGCGTCAGGCCATGGTCACGCAATTTCCTGTAGAAAGCGTCCATCTCGATCTCGGGATTCTTCAAGGCATCCTCTTTTCCGCGCTTTCGAAGCCAAAGACAGCTCCATTTGCTGATGCTGGCGCCACGGGCAAATTTGGTGCCGATCAAATTCCACGAGCCGTTTCGAGGGTTGGTAGTCTTCTTGCCGCCATAGAGTAGATTGGGAGGATTCAAAATCCGTGCAGGTACAGTGATCATCTCCCTGCCGGGCTTGATCCCCACTGTCTTGGTATGTCCTCCGGAGATTCCCATGATGTCCAATCCCTCGGTCATAATGGAGTCATAGTTCTGAGGAGGCCGCCGGCAACTGAACTTGATCATGTTCTGTCGTTGGACAGCGGACGGCTCTGGCTTGAAGCATTGCCCGGGGAGGACTTCGCAAACCTCTGCAGGAAGGTAAACCGGACGCTCACGAGTTCCAACATTCACCACTGGCATATCCTTGCTGTATTTGAGTGTCCTATTGTAGGCTGTTATTTCTTGTTAGCGCAATGCAAAATACCGAGTGATAGGCAGCAAACATACTCTTGAAGAAGTATTCGGTAATGCTCATGTATTTTCCCTTCTCGTCATCTCCCATCCAGAACTTCACATTGTCCGCACTAGATGAGAGGTTTTCAATCTGTGGAGGGTTGGGGCCAGGACGTCCATCCCGAGGAGTAGCAGTTCCGAGGATCGTTCTGACAGGGTATTCCATCACCCCAGCTCCGTTCTCTCGCCGCTCCAAATGCAAGGCATAGACTTTCACACCCTTCAGGTACCGATTCAAAAGCTCTCGGTCGGTTCCGTGAACTTGGGCAAAAGCAACGAGTAGCTCAGACAGCATACCCGAACGGAAGAATGCACTGTGGCTGACATTCAAATTAAGGAAGATTCGTCCAGCACCAACACGGACACTCGAGTAGTAACCACGAACGGCTTCGGCGCCAGCCTTCATGTCCATTGACTGCTTGCGCCTGTCCATCCGGAAGAACTTGTTGCGTCCCTTGCCGACAATGGAAATGCCGGTATCTTTGTAGGGATGAGCACTCATGAGGATGTTCAGTACTCGGAGACAGGGCGCTTCATTCTCAAGTTCCTCTCGGTGGTTGATGTTCTCAAGGCACGCCATCATCTCAGCCGGGGAGTAAGAGCTGTCGAGGGTCAAAGTGGCTTCCCAGGGGCCGGTGTAGGCTTTCGATTTCCCACCTCCATGTCCGCCTCCGTTGCCCATGGAACAAGTGAATGGCTCTCTGCCTTCGGGGAGTAGCTCGGTAGTAACAATCTCAGTAGCGCCATCGGTGGCAACGCCAATTCCTTTGTTGAAGAGAGGGTACTTGCGGAACATACTATCGAGAACGAACTTTTGCTGCGCTTTCTTCGCCTCGGGCTTGACCTTGAGTCGGTAAGAGTAGAATCTAACGTTCGGCTTGAACTCCATGGGGAAGAAGTTGGCGCGAAGCACAATCGCACGACCTTGAGTGCCGTAGCCAGGACGTCGAGCCAAAGAGTTGGACTCTGGGCGAACCTTTGCTGATTCCGTAACGTACTTGTCCTCCAAGGCCTGGACCCGGGTGCTGGGAGCTTCAATCGGGTCCGACAACATTCTGTGCGCATGTTAGATATAAATCTTTCCTGATGTAGAACAAATAAACTTACCCAGAGGGGGCTTCGGACCCGCCACGTCCACCACCACCGCGACCACCACCACGGTCACTGCCACGGCCCCGATCACCGCTGTAACCGCGGTCACCACCACCCCGGCCACGGGAGCCACCACGATCACCACCACCACGGCCGCCTCGAATGGGCAAATCGTAGCCACGACCAGACATTTTGACGAATGTCTAGTTAGAGAAAAGAGGTAGTCGTAAAAAAGAAATGATTATGTGAGACCGTGAACTTTGCACGTGTCTGAGAAAGTAGGATAAGCGACGAAAAGGACTTGAAACCCCTATTTGTTTGGGTATTTGGGAGAGGAAACGAGGACAAAAGGAAGGATGGAAGAGTAGGTTTCAGGAAAGGACAAGCGTAATCTTGTCCACCGCAGGTTTCCTTTTTCAGAAAAAGGAAGAAAAAAAGCTGAATGCAGGTTCGTTGCTCTATAGTTATGCATTAGTAACGATGAAACATTGGATTGTTGATATGCATGAAGATATAGATGTAAAGACAGACTCGTGCAGCAGAGTAATGGGCAATGTAGGGCATGCAATAGCATGAGGCAAGTCGCCCAACCCACAGCCAAGAGCGAGCCCAATGGGAATGGCAATGCAATGATAATGGAGATAGTGAGGCAATGAAGATGTAGGACAGAATATCAGATATGAAAAAAAACTGGATGATGGTGCAAGGGAAGGGTTCAAGGGAAGAGAAATGGAAATCAAGGTAGTCCAGGAAGAAACAAATGAACAGCAGCAAATAAGAATATCAGAATGAAGCCAGGAGGTATGCCTGATCTCAATGAAGAGGCAATTGGAAGAGTGATTTGTCGTGAATTAGGGCTTGGGATAAAAGATTCACAGCAATCAAGGAGCGACAAGCAATACCATCAAAGCAGCAATTGAGAGATTCAAATGAGGGGAAGTGAATTGCAAGTGAAGAATTGGTAAAGATCAAAGCAAAGTAAATGCATATGCAGTGAGAGAGATACAGAGATTTGCCAATATCAGAGGTATTGGCATGCGATTGAAGGGTATAGAGACATATTAGGGCAAAGGAACGAACAATGTACTCACCGAAGCTGTTTGTATGGGTCGTGGGGAGGAAGAAGAAGGAAGAAGAAGAAATTGCCGTGGATGGTATTTATAGTCGGCCACCGCAGTATGTGCGCGCTGGTAGACTTCAAGATCATGAGGCATATAACGCGCGTTGATGGACTTCAATATCATAAAGTATGTATGGAACGCGCGCTGGTAGGCTAAATCATGGGGTATAAAACGCGTGTTAGTATACTCCAAGCTCGTTAATATGTAGGACTTAGGGCAAGATTTACTATATGGGACTTATAATATGAGCCGTATGGGACTTGTAGTTCTAGTATAGAAGGCTTAGAATAAAAAGCAAGTTAGCCATAGAAATTTACAGTACTTAGTATTGATAGTATCAGGAGGACAAAGAAGAAATGAAGCTCACCAGTTCGACAAAGAAAAAAGCATACCTTAAAACTCCCGGAGCGCAAGAGAAAAAAGATAAAGGAATGCACAGCAGAAGCTGGGTAGTCACAAAGTATTATGAAATTAGGTATCCACAGAAGAGTCTAAGTAGATATTATAATAATCTAACATTTTAGGGCTGTAAACACCCGGCCTAGGCCTGAAAGCAAAACCACAAACTCCAAAAGCAAACCAGATATTCCCAATGATATAGCCCTAAAACACCGGCTAAAAAGAACAGAGACAAAAAAAAGTAGAAGGAAAACAAAATTCAAATCGAAAAAGGCTTAACAGAGAACAGCTTCGAGGGCTTCGACGTCGCCGCCAGCGCTGCGAACAGCTCTCAATGCGGCTTCGCTCAGCTTGCGACGTCTATCGCGGGCTTCTTGCTCGCGGCGAGCCTTGGTCTTGGAACTGCCGGAGGGAGCAACTCCGGTCAGGATCTTCTTGCTATCGTCAGCGGTAAAGTTGACGAACGATACGCTGACAGATTTGTTTGAGCCTCGGGACGAGGAGCTAGGGGCCTTGGCGGGCTTGGGGGTATTCATGCTCTGGCTGGAGAGCTTGCGGCTGTGTGTGCGGCGGTGGGTGGGCTTGGAAATGGATCCATGGTGGGTGTCCCTGGGGGATGTGCCGGTCTTAGGGGAGAGAGATGATGATGAACGGATGTCGTGGACTTGGGAGGAGGTGAAGGAGGTGTCGAATTTTTGAGAGGTGGTAGGGAGCATATTAGATGAGAATGAGTTGTCTGCCGACATGTCATATGAGGGATTGAATTGAATCATTAGTCCTCCTTGCATGATGTCATTTTGGCTTCCAACGTTTTGCATGTGGCGGACAGGTGTGGGAGATGCGAGGTAAGCGGCCTGCTGTTGAGCGACCCGAGAAGGCATGGGGGACCACCATTGAGAATCCTGGCCTTGGAGGTCTGGGGTGAAAGGTAGGGATGAGGCATGGAGAGAATCGGATTGCCAAGAGGAAAGAGAATGGAGGTCGGATGAGTGAGATGAGGAGAAGATATCATCAGCGGAAGAAGGGCTGGAGTTGGTCAAGGCGGAAGAGCTTGGGTGAGCAATGTAGTGCTGTTGCTGCCGCGCTGACATTGCGATACTCGGCGACTGCATTGGAACTGAGGGAGACTGGTGATATAGCCTTGCGTCGTACTGAGGAGGCATCTCTGTCGAGTCTCTAGGCTGGTTCATGATTTGTTCGGTAGGCATGTTCTCATGCTGAAGGAGGGCATCCGATGGAGGAGGCGACAGTGGCAAACGATCTTCGGAATTGTGAAGGCTGAAGTTCTGAAGTCGCTGGGCCCAAGCCTCAGGATAGGCCATTCTTGATTTGGATAGGTTGGAAGAGCGCATTAAGCTAGGGGAGAAACTTTGCTTGCGCAGATGAGAGCGACGCTCATTCGGGCTGCGGTGGCGGATGGTTTTGGGAGTGATGAGAGCACTCTGGGTAGGCTTCCGTCTAGGAGTAGCTGGAGGGGTAGAAGGCGAGATAGACAGAGCGTGTGTTGCTGTAGGACGAGAGGGAACTTCAAAGTGGTTCAGGTTGACATCTGAGATGGCAGAAGGATGGACGGTGTCATGGAAAGCAAAATGATCGGCAGCAGGCCCGTCATACTGCAGGGACCACTCATTACTCCAGGGTTGCGGTGATTGATGGCATTTGGGAGTGGAGACAGTGGGTGCAAGATCGCCACAGTCATTTGACAGCGAGTCAAGCGGAAAGAGCTGGTCAAAATCGGACAACGCCGAGTCTTTTCCATCAGCGGCACTAGTTTCCATGTTGACGTATTGGTTGAACAAGTCATTGAACGAATGGTCGTATTGTTGGGCGAACATCTTGCCGGATTTCCGTTTGCGGCGACAAAGTAAAAGTACGGGGCAAAAGTGTAGTCAGCGACTCAATACCCGAAAGGCTTTGATGTGATTGGATAACAAAGATATAGTCTCGGAATAAGCTTGGGAAAGTTTGGGGATAGTTCGGAGGAATCGACCCGGGTATCCGAGGAGTGCAAAGGATGCAAAAAGAGGGAAAAGCGTTTGAATGTTTGGATGTTTGATAGTTTGTCAATCAAAGAAAACACTGCAGACGATGCAAAGAAAGCAAAGCAAACAAACAGATGCAAGCCCTATTTGAATAGCTGCCAGGGACACCAGCCTCGGAATTTATGGACACATTCCTCATCCATCTTTAGAGCACTTGGAATGTGCTATAGAGGGCCCGGTTGGCTCCTGGTGGGCCCCACCAACCTCCCCCAAGAATGCTTCAAGGCTCTCAAGCCAATCGTAGTTGCTGGTAATACAATGGCTGGCCGAGCAGTTGATCTCCGTCAGATCTAAAAGACGCTTCGTCGGATAGCCACCCACGGGAATGCAACCCTCCTTCACTAAGCCAGAAGCAGTGGAACAGCCATCAAATGGGTTAGTGAAGCAGGCCTTTAGAGGACTTAGGCATGTTGGCCGATACCTTAATTAGAGATCGACATGACTCGTACAGAGTACACAGTAAGAGAACGGCCGTGGAAATGGGTCGGAACGCTCTCCGAACCGTTCAGGGTTGTCCAAGGAACCAGGACCATACAGCTGGGACAGAATGATGATCACCTATCCAAGGTTGGTACTTGCAGTGTAAGCGTCATGATACCTGATATCCCATCATCAACCGCCCGAAAAGACTCGAGTTGGGTGACAGTATGATCGGCCGTGCACTGTGGCTGCATATTTCTTGCATTTGCTTCATCATGATTAGCCAATTGATCAAATGGGGGTCGGTAATGTTGTCGATTGGTCAATGTCCTGTTAGTGATAGACGGTCCGGAATGTGGGTTGGAACGTAGAGGCTGGGCGGAATGTCACCTCCCACTTCGAACAATGCACAGAAGAGTTCTAAGTATTCGAGAAGAATATATTTTCCTGGAAAGCTCCAGTATGAATGTTCCCCTGCTTAGAAGTTCGGCGAACCTTGACCTGCAGGAGATCGCCGTCCGGGGCCCTTATCCGGGAGTGTTTGCTTCAACCCCATGTTCTATATTTGGACTGCATGAAGATGATCAAGATAAGGCCATGTTTGAATGCAGCAGAAAACAAGCCTTTCCTCCGCATGAGATAAGGATCTGATACCTCCTTCCCCCTTCGGGATAATCGCGCCATTTAGTGATCAAAGTGTAGTGTCCTTCAATCGGTGGGGTTTTAGGTGGTTTTTTGTACAAATCTCACATGATATGATTAGCCAATTGTGTTTGGGCGATTTTTAAATCCGCGAATAGTTTAATGCGTTGGTGGCGTGTCAATGTGTATGCTTCTTCCTTTGGCATCGATGTCGTGTTTAGGTTGATTCAGGCATCACAGACAAAGAAGCCAATATTCAAACGAATAAAGATTTAGGCGAGACTGCAGGATTGATAGACATGGGTTGAAGGAGTTAAAGGACAAGATTCGGTATAGTTGCAGTTCAAATCCAAATCGGCCAATCAGCAGTTGTGCCTGTTTCTTCAAACGCAGTCTAAGGCGCTAATGCAGAATGCAGCCAGACTGCTGGCCTAAATGAAAATTAAAAATAGAGACAGAAAAAAGGGGGTAGGTGTCAACAAACCAACGCGTCGGCGAGAAGACGTGGTCTGCGAATATACGCGATGTGCGATCTGGGATTGAGATCGATTGCCCTAACGATGCGGCAATAGCGGGTGGCCCCGTTCAACACTATTTGTATGCAATCAGCAAGGACAGACTTGATAATAAGTCACAGATACCCCTATTAAATATGCAGTTATTCAATATATGCCTAGGAGTGAATAGTAGGAAATATTGTGCTGAAAATCCGGAGTGCGACACTAAAAAAAGCAAACCCGGCTGAGAGGTACTGTGTACTCCGCATTCCGGTACTCCCGAGGCTATTCAAAGGCTGATATAGTGTACTCAGTACTGTCACGAGTAGCATTTGTATGTATAACCTAGACAAATGATCAAATGCATTCGAATGACCTAGAAATAAGTTGCATATGACTGCATATTGTAGCGAAAGAGCCCAAACAAAATCCCCAAGGTCCAGTGGACGGACCAAGTTCGGGCTGAGTCAGATGACGAGAAATTGGGGCGACTGCCCTTTCGATTCCAGAAGGAACTCTCCTCTCTCTTTCTCTTCCTTTTCCTCAGGCCACTCGAAACAGTGACCTTGGACTCTTAATTCTCTATTACTGTTACTGCTACTGCTTATTTGCAGTGTTCGCTCGCACTTTCCTCTGTACTTTGTATCGTTGCCTTGACTCCAGAGTCGACGTGACTCAACCCGGATTTATTTGCCCCTCCGTCACACCCCGCGAAACGTGGGACACTCAACTCTTCTCTACTTTCATCTCCGCTCTTACCTACCCTCTTGTCGCGTCCTTGTGCGATAAGCCTTTGTTTTTGCGACATTGCGACCCTTGCTGCTCTCGCGACATTCCAACGCCGCTTGCATTGCGTCACGCGAACACAAATTCTCTCCTAGCCACTTTCTAATACCCTACATGCATCTCAACAAAACCTGTGGCCTTTTTGTTATTCGTGACCGATATCAACTTATTTCGAATCATTCAAGCAACCAGTCTCGACACTGTTGCGCGCACCCAACTGGCAAGGAAGCACCCTTCTACATTCAATCATAAAGTGTATCAGAAAATCATGTCTTTCAACATTTGTGCTGGGAACAAGTTCCCCTAAGCTTTTACACGATTCCCGTGTGCCTTCACTATGCACTTTTCACCGTGCTTTGCAGGCTTTCGATGCCCTTGCTATTCTCTTGATTCACTTTCGACTTACTGATATCACCTTTTCAACCTCATTTCTTCCACAACCCCGGTCTCTCCTATAGAGGAGTGCTCGGTCAAATCCCAGAATTTCCATTCTCAATATCTTGGGCAATTCGCCAAATCACACCAAAGAAAGCGTCCCGCTGGAAGCATGGACAACCCAATTCCTGAGCAAATGAGCAACTCGGCCCTCCATCGAGGCTCGTGGGAATCTGTGTCATCTGCCTTCTCCCACCTCGAGATGTCTTTTTCCCACGATAGCTGCTATGGCTCGGATGAAGTTTCTGTTACATCGAATAGTTGCACCCCAACTCAGTCAGGTGTATCGACTTCTACTACCAAACCGACTTTGCGTCCTTCCTTGAAATCGATCCTCAAAAACTCAACCGTTGCCTTTGACTCTGATGAAGAGTCCGGCTCGGAGTCGGGCTATAGTTCAGACGGAATTGATTCGGAGTATGATGCATTATCTGATGAATCCGACGAAGAGGACGACGATGATGATTCGGACTTCTCGGTCTGGGATGAAACAAACGGGGATGTCCCTGAGACGCATGAGGATCACACCGAGTCGTTTGACGATGCCTTCATTTCCTTTGAGGAGAATTCTGTGCGCTTTGACCCGCAGGTAGAGTACATTGACAGCGTGGAAGTATCGGATGACGAAGCTCCTGATCACCAAATGACTTGTCATGAAATGATGATGCTCGCTCGGGACTCGAAAGGCACTCAAACACTTCTAGATCAACTCGATAAAATGGACATCGCGGAGTCCAGAAAAGAACATTGCCATCAAGAGTTTGGTCGCAAATCTACCAACCAACCAGAAGAGTTTTCGCGCGATGCCGTGGACTTGGACTGCAGTCTCTTTGTCGCTTACATGAATGGTATCCGCGGGATTGTCACTCCGAAGTACAAGACTTACCTTCGAGTTCAGGTTGACCATATTCGCTTGGGCAAAGATACCGAATTTGTGGATACAGAGGGTGCGCCTTCGTTGTACCTCGACCTAGTCTCCAACCATGTCACTGGCACCTTCTGCAACCTCCTCGCTGAGGACGAGCTCAACGAGTTGATCAGACTCCGCGCAGTAGAGAAAACCGGCAAACAAAACGATACAAGCTCGTCGACCCTAGGCTTGGATCACCATAAAGTCCTCTTGAACAAAATTGAAAAATTCCTGCTGGACAGGTTGGCGAGTGGTCGGGTCGACATTGGCCCTGATGAACTGAGCTTCTTCGCTGGCGGCATTGCGCACGAACTCGGCACCAAAATTTTGCCTGCACAGGTCTAAGATCTGCTTGCACATCGGCAAACAAATAACACGACTTTACGATTATGACCAAACGTTTCTTTCGGATTCGACTATCAGGGCACACAATGGGGCGGCTCTTTAGCCAGGAAAAGCATTTAAACTTCTCATAAGTTGCTTTCGGACTAGGATTTGACAGTGGTCATGTATTTTCCCGAACTAGCACTTGATATGTATTCAAAAAAAAAACAATTTCAAAACTTCAGATGTTCGCAAGTTGATGATTTAGATGTAGCTAAACCTGTTTTTTTCTGCCTCCGTGGGACTCCGGCCTCGAGTGCCTAGCCAATCATTCTCATTCACTCCTTTCCGACCTAAAACCCACCTACAACATACTTCCGTGACTCGGACAGGGCGAGAGTCTTGACTCTAAATAGCTCACCCTCGAAGTATACCATACTGTAACAATTGTTCAGCTTCCCCAACCCATTTTGAGTCCTAGATACTCAACGTCTAAGGTCACACTCACTGTACATATACATACCTGTTTGTTCTTGAACATATGCACCTATATTGCTCTGTGCTTGCTTAATATTCGCAGTAGTAGTATTACGAAGTATATATATCATACCACCAGCTCCGAGTCGGATGTTTCAGAAGTCTCTAAACAAATACCCAATACTTGATATTTCTTACCAGATTCAATACAATTACGTTAACTAAAGCCCTTTCACAACATGCCTGAATCTATAATTTTCATACCTATGCAGGGGTTAAGGAAAAAATATGCTGTATCACTT